GCTTTTCAATTGCTTTTAAAAACTTGAATTTTATTTTGCATTTTCATAAATAATTCAATTGGAAGCATGCACTAATGGGCCAAGTTTGTTATGACATCAAACTATTTTGGGTGATTAAAATTACAGAGGATTATGAAGAACTTCAAAAGGATCTTTCTAAACTGGAAGCATGCGCATCAGAATGGAAAATTTAGTTCAGTATAAGATAAGAGTGAAGTGATGTATATTAGGACCAAAAATTCCAACATCATGGATGTTATGATACTGGATGGGAACTAACCATAACTGACCAGGAAAGCAGTTTTGGAAATGTATTGAATAGCTCAACGAAATTATTAACAAATTTGCAGCTGCTGTGAGAAAGGCAAATGCCATGTTAGGCAGAATTAGGGAAAATCGAAATAAAAGTATATCATACTAGAACCAGGAGTCATCTCATGAAGCTGATCTGTAAGAGATTTAGAACAGGTGAAAGTGCTTCTTCATACAGTGCAGTTAAAAAGTGGAATTTAAGATAGGTTGATAACCACAGTTTGAATGGTTGTGAAGAGGATTAGACAAATTCATGGAGGATATGACTATCAGTAGTTATTAGTCCAGATGGCTCTGTTACCTCCAGTGTCAGAAACTTCATGCCTATGTAGAGCAGTTGCTAGGGAACATGATGGGATGGTGTGTTGCATTCATGTTGCTTGTGGGTTTCTTACAGTGAGTTGCCTGTTGTATAACAGAATGCTGTATGAGATGGACCCATGGTCTGATCTATGTTACAGGGTTAGCCTGTATTCTTAAAGCACTTTAGCTTGGTTAGTCCCATTAGTCTTCAGTGGAGTTTTGTTAATGCAATAATAAAAGGAAGTGTTTCTATGACAGGGCCCTATTCTTACAGTGACTGCACCATCATTTACGTCCTTATTAATTCATCTACTCTGAATTAATCCCCATTGAGTTAAATGGCCTTATTAACAGGTGAGTGAGCATAGGATTGCAGTGTCAAACAGGAAGTCTTTACAATTGATACCTCAGGAAAAATGGTGCTTTGAAAATCCAGAAACTTGCTTTCAATAAATTCACAAAAGCCCAAGACCATTACTAAGTGGTCTAAAATAAGGAAGAACCAGTGTTCTGCTAAATGTATTGGGCCAAAAGCATGTTGCAAGTTCTCTTAAAACACTAATCCAGTTCACAGAATCAAACCACTCATGGTTCATTAACATTTGTTGTTTTGAAGTATATCCAGTGAAGAAGGCTGGCTCTTGACTACCCAGCCACTTCTTTTTCACCAAAATAGCCCAGGAATACACTGTTCAACTGTGTTCAGTGATGTCTGAACCTGAACTCTGGGTTGCTGGAGAAATTAACCTGTGTTTTGTTCTGTTGAAGCTCTGGGTTGTTCCTTAATAAACCACAGTTCCTGCTTCAAACATCATGGAGGACAACCCAATAATGTTCTTGTATTATTTAGCAAAGCCAAAACAGGTAAGCAGTTGGGAGTTAGCATGCTTACTTGTTCCCAGAAACCCATGGTTATCAAAATACGACTAATTTAATTGTATGAACTGGGTCATTGTTCCTATGACAAAACAGACACATCTGCAGCATTTGTCCCTAACCACAGGATCATGGGGAAAGGTCATTCTTTTATAGCCATTCCAATGGTAAAAGGAATAGATAGGCCTCTGCTCAGTTATACATTCTCTTTCCTGTAAGTGATCCTGAAATAGAGGCTGATATTACTGACAGTGTTTAATTATATTACTGACAATGGCCCCAATCATACAGTGATTGCAATGGTGGTTTGTACTTAAGACCTATCCAAATGTAAATAGAACAGTTGTTAATCTGTCTTGTGGATCTGGTGGTGCTTCTATTAATACCAACCTGAATCTAGACATTTATGAATATTTTATTGTGCAGAATTTTGTCTTGTCCATCCTACTGATTCTGCTCACTGAATGAGGATGAAATGTAAATAAATTAAATACAATAGATGTTCATTAAAACGCCTGTCCTTTGCATTGTCAAGTAAGTTTACAGTGGCTGGCTATGGGCACAAACATTTCCCTTATAGCAGAACTTCATTCACACATCATCAATATCTTTTGGTGATAAGTAAACATTTTAAATATAGATTGGTAACAATTTACCAGAGAGATTCTCTTCATTCTGGCTATGAATAATGAAATTGTAACAAATACTTTGTAAGGTATGCGTAGATGTGCTATAGTATACTTAGTAGTGTTGAGTCTGAGTGCATACTACTATTTAATCTTGAGATGAAATCTCACTGGGTGAACTCTAAAACGTAACACTCCATACACACTTAACTACATCTATGCATGTGGCTTTATAAGGTTCTTGTCATAGCCAAGTTGAACAGGAAATAGACAACAAATAGAAAACAGTGAAATACAGAATTTGCTTTTTTATGGCTTTTACTATAACAGCACATTGCTACAGGAAATGTTTTGTTAATTCTTGTTGGAGATGTTAATAGCACACTGCAGTCAGTTTAATAAAGATGACTGTTTGGAGTGCCACTAATATTTTTGCCTCAGGAGCTGGCCAATTTTTTTTAAAAATCTAAGAATTTGAAGCCTCTCTTTAAAATCTGCAGCAGGCACTCAAACTCTGCAGTATGCTACCGACTCTTGCTGTTGCTGTAAAGCAACTCAATTAGTTGGGTAACGAAGCAGTAACCTGGTGTTTAAAGCCTAACCAGTTAATAAATTTGACAAGCTGCCATGAACCAACAAATGTGTTTGGTTGGAATTACACTTCCCCTATTGTAACAGTGATAGTGTCTTGTCTTTCCTACTAATAAAGTTACTCCATAAATAAGTTTATTTGTTTTCTTTAGTTTGAATTTCTAGACTTGGTGAATTTCTAGACAGGTGTTTATTCTGCTAGAAAAGTAGTAACATGCCACTTACATGGGTGAACTACAGGAGCAGCTCCAAACCACTAAGCTCAATTGCCACCATGAAGAGGATGAATGTATTTAAAGAGAATACAATCTGCTTATACCCTGTCACTGTTGATTGGAAAACTGTTAATTAGGAACAAGCTGCTCATTTTAGCTTCTTTCACAGCTGAAGTGCTAACAATGAAGCCTGCGAATGTTGCTTGACTGCTGTATGTGAGAAAAATGCTCTAGGGCAGACACACATTTTATGACATTTATGTAGGGAAAGTAGTAAGTTATTTGTGACAATTCGCTTTTGCTGTCATCATAAAACCTATATTGGTTGAGTGAAAAAAAATCTAAAATACACAGAGAATGTGAAAAATTTAGTACTTCTCCCCTCAAAAGACTCATGTAGGAAATGATTTTTGGTTTAATATGTCTGTTCCATTTGAAGTACACTTGCCACATAGAATGGAAACTATGCGGCAAGGACCTAAAAGATGTATCCAAATTTCAAATTCAACTATGCATACAACTAGTATAAATAGCTATCTCACTGGATCAAACACAACCTATTTAAATCCAATTAGCATGTGAGTATTTTCCAGTGAATTGGAAATAATAAATTTCCTGCCAAATAATAATGTTCAATAACAGTGTATTATCTAAGCTAGTGGTACAGAACTCCTTTAAACCTGAGGGCTAGATTGATTTAGAAGACTCAGGAAAATGATAGACAAGATCAAAAGAGGTAGGCTAAAATTCTAGTGCACTTATAGTGTTTCACGCTTAGGACAGGTTATTTCAACTTGCTGGAATGGAAAAACTGCATAAAACCAAGGAAAACAACATCCAGTGGTCAGGGAAGGAACATCTGGTCTTCTAGGGAAATCCATGAGCCAGCATAGGACCCCACGAGGGCTAAATTTGGCTATCAGGCTTGAGGTTCTCCACTCCTCATTGAAACAGCTTATTTTCCTTTTACACTTAGAAATAAAATCCAGTTGGGAATTTACTTTATAAAGACCATGTTATGCATGATGGGGTTGCTATATGGGTATCAGTTGAAGATAAACAATACAGATATCTCACTGGTGGGAAATCTGAACAAATTTTCAGTAAACTACCCCCATGGGGAATTTTCCAGATGAAGGCCAGATGCAGATGCTTTAAAAAAGTAGCTAGCTTAAACATGCTTTTCAAAAAGGGTATTTTAAGGCAGCATAGTGTCTGGGCCTAAGTCAGATAAAGATGACTTCATCAAATTATTCCCTTTACCTACACAAATTCTTCCTAGCTTTTTATGTTTCTGCTTTACAAATAATTTAGGAGTGATGAGAGCCATTGCCCTCCACCAGCATCCATACAGGCACAAAGACTATACTGTGCTCACACAGGTTGTCTTCTGTACCCAATACATTGACCATTAATTCCTTTGCATAAATAGCCTTTGATCGAAAGTAGGGGTGAAATGGTCAAGCAAATGAGCCATGTATGTTTGAAGTGTCTTGCATCTTTAGAGCAAACCATATCACAATAATTAGGGAGAGTTTAAGGAAGAGATATATTGCAATCCTGTTCCCATCTTTATACCAGTCTCTACTCTAAATTTACTACTGAACAGTAACCATCAATAAACTTAACTTTGAAATTAGAGGCATCTCATGATTTCCTTTCTGTTTCCAGATCAAACAGGTCTTTTAATTATCCCTTGCATATCTGTTCCCAAATAGCTCCTTGACAAAAATTGCTTTTCCTGAAGCCTCTTTCCTTAGCCTGTTAAGTGCCAAAGTAATTCCCACTGCAAGTCTGACACCTCTCACTCACTAATGGCAGAAGACTGCAACAGCGGTGTCCTCAGCAATTCCCACTCAGGAGAGGAAGTTTCTTATTAGTGAGGGAGCATTTAATCTTGTATGATGTGATTTGCAAGATGTAGACTGCTTGTGGAGAACGGGACCCAGTTTTTAGTGTGCATGAATATACCTTAGCACAATATTGGAAAGTGTCACTTGTTACTTTCTACACAGCAAAATAGAATAAGTTATGTACCCTTCATATATTGAATGCGACAAGGAAGGGAAGCAGAAGGTTGCTGAAAAAAATCTATTTAACAATTCTTTGCATGCAGAATTGAAGTATGCTACTTAAACTGTAAATATTTCATTTACATATTTTTAAAAGACAAGCACCATATATATTTTACATCTTCATCTCTTAGCACAGTTTAATTTTTTTGTCCCTGTAATGGACAACAGAATAATACAGCAAAGATTATTTCTGTTTATCCAAAGCTAGTCAGGATAACAGTTAAGTTACAACAAGACACCAATTATTTATAATGGATTGGATCCTATCAGTATACTTAGGATAGAATAACTGAAATAAATGGCTTTAAATTAGTAATAACTAACTTCTCCCCATGATTTCAATGGGTTTACCCTAAGTATAATTAAGATCCAATCCAATATGTACAACTGCGAAAAGTTTGAAGAATCTGATATACAAAATTAACTTAAATGATGTATTTTCCAAGTTTAAAAATCCTAAACTTTTTCAGAAATTGTTTGAAAATTACAAAGATATGAAAAGGATAACTCAATATATCCTTATATGAAATATTCATACAAATAAGTCATTAAAATATAAAATTAATATAAATATGCGCAAACAGGTGCCTCTTGGTGAACCATGCCAGTAATATACTGAAATACCCACACTAAATATTTAAACATGTTTATAAAATTAATACCAATCTGGGACACATTATTTTATACTGCAATATGGAAACTGATCAACTAGATTGGCCAAAGGAACAAATCTAAAACCAGTGTTTGAACAGTGGGCCAAACCTTGCTGAGCTTTTGCTGCAAGGCTGTTAAGCCCAATACTTCCCCTCCTGCATCCCTGAGCAACATAGACTACTGGATTGGCTCAAATATTACTATTTGAAACTTCCATAGAAAGTAGGTATTGCTTCTTCAATGACGGTCATCAAAGAATAACTTTATGCAAGATATTACAATTTTCACATAGCAAAAAATTTAAGCAATTAAACCAATTACTATTTGATCTATTAATTCATTCTTTCCCAACCTGGTACCCTCCACATGTTTTGGACTACAACTCCCAGGGTTACTGACCATTGGCCATGTTGACTGGGACTGAGAGGAGCTGAAATATAAAACTTTTGCAAGGCAACAGGTTGAGTTTAATTTATTATCTCTGTCCCTCCAAAAAGCTCAATGCAGCTTCCAAAAAATTACTACAATACTTCAATGGAGGAAGGATGCATAAAGCTAATAAAAAAACTTTAAATAAATACAATCCGAATGCATTTCTTAAACAAAAAGAAAAATAGATTCCTCCAGATTTCACAGTCTACAAGAGCTACAGCAGTTCAATCATCTCTTATCCAAGTCTTTGCTTCATCTACCATTTTGACACGAAACAGAACTCTCAAACTGTGCCATGATTACACAGGTGCTCCTGAAAATTGTTGCTGTTTTTGCTCCAAAGCTTGTTGACTTAGCAATTGCTGTCTTCTCTGAAGAAAATGAACAACTTCAGGACTTCTCAGAAGTGACTGAAAAGACAAAGAACACCAAGGTAGACATTGGCACACCTTTGCCAATCCAAAGCATGCAAACAAAGGCCTTTTATAGCCACAACCCAGCTTCCAACGTATTTCAGGTGAGCTGAGCATGCAACAGGCATCCCATGTTGAGACACTCTGCTTTTCTTTAATGTATTTAGAATACCCAGTAGCTGGACTGAAGTTCGGTATGCAGGTGGAGTGAGACAAGCTAGATAAGCTAAAAGAAAATATGCTTACCATGCAATATGTAATTGGATGCATGGCACACACTTGCTTTACAGCAGGTAAAGGCAGAACTGTGGCTATAAAAGGCCTCTCTGCATTGTTCTACTGAAGCTTAATACTGCTTCCATTAGTCTCAAGACAGACCTTTTTTGCATGGAAAGATCCCTGTCCTTTATTTGTGAGAAACAAATACCCAAGTACATAAAAGGTCTCAAGTCAGTTCAGTATGATACGACATTGAAGTATTTAAGGTCATTATATTTGTTCTCCCTTTTTACTCATGCTATTTTCTGTTTAAAATTTTGTCTTTCTTACTTACTTACTTAATTTATTTATAACATTTTTATGCCGCCCCCATCGCAGAAAGCCTTGGGGCGGCTTACAAAGCAGGATAAAACAAACATAGAATAAACATTAAAAATTCAGAGCATCTCGGCTGCATCATAAAATCAATAAATAAAAACAACAGTTAACAATTAAAATATCACTAAAATAAAAAGGTCTTGGCCTGGCGCCAAAAAAAAAAAAAAAAACAGCGCCAAGTGGACCTCTCTGGGGAGCGCATTCCATAGGTGGGGCGTCACTGCAGAGAATATATATTTTCCAATTTTGGTGCATGCTGCTTAGCTATATCTTAACATATGAAATTTTCGATTGGAGCAGAAGACTATTCTACAATATTACTAGGTGTATGTATTTACTGAGGGTGTATAACCAAATCCCTTTCCTCCCCCATGTACTACAACACTAATTATTTAATTATTATTTTGTAGGTGTATAAACCATTGATCATATTTTAAACCAAACATCTTTAAGCAGTACAGATGATTGATTTGAGCAGGGGTGTGTGTATCCATTGTTTTTTAAATAAGTCTGGCAAAATAAAAGTTTGGAAGAAACATGAACCAGGCAGCAGTCTTGTAGGGGACTGGCCAACTTTAATTCCTGATATCTGAAATGTACAAATGAAAAACATATTTAGTTTTGTTCTACAAAAGGAAATTATTTCTGTAATAAACCATCAAGTAACAAAGGATCCTCACTGAGATTCTTTGTTTCAAAGGTCTGAAGCACTTACCAGCCTTTTCTGATTTAACACTTGTTCCAAAAGTGTAGGTTTTGCTGGCCGATCTCCCATGTTCCCTGTCCTTTGCTTTGATACAGAAATGGAACTTTCAGTGCAATCCTGAGCATAAAAAGGGAAAAAAGACACTGTATTTGTTTTACTATAAAGCAGAGAAAAGCCTTATTACATTGTAATTCCACTGGGCAATATCCAAGTTCTGGTACTAGTACAAATGCTGTTGTGGTGCAGAAACCAAGTTTCAAACTCTGGACAATATTAACCAGGTTCTACCACTAATGATGTAATATTAGCCCAAAAGAAAAAAATATGATCAAAATTTGGAAGCTAAAAAGTAAATTTTCTTCAAAATAAGACATACATTCTGCCGGAGTGCAGGACACAGAATAATGGGCTCAAGCTACAGGAAGTCAGACTCTGGCTGAATATCAAGAAGAATTTGTGACTGTTAGAGCAGTATGACAATAGAACCAATTCTTTTGTTCTAGAATTCTAGTCCTAGGGAGGTTGTGGACTCTCCTTACTGGAAATGTTCAAGATGCAGCTTGGCAGCCATCTCAGATGGATGGCTTAACTTGGAGTCTTTCTTACCCCCATCTAACCCTACTATTCTATGATTCTATGAACTTGGCTGTTTGTCACCTATGCACAAGGGGGGCATCCAACTAGAAGTCTGCTTGCAAATCTTAGCTTTACAAAGTGATGATTAGTGCTCATGCAAGAGTAAAAGGCAGCCAAACTCCACTAGCACAGCAATTTCTTCCAATAACGTTACACTGGATTTAAGCCACTGTCTCTTCCTGAAAGATTACAGCACAATGAAATTCCTTTGCAATGTATTACAAATCTTTCTGTCCTTAGAATATCCTTCTGAAGATGTAAACATAAAGGAAATAATACCTTAATCCAACTAATCTAATACTGAATTTTAGATTTCAGCTACTAATATGGCACTGTCCATTTTTCTCAAGCTAGGATAATGGTTATTTTATTTATTAGATTTCTAGCCCACCTTTTTCTGTTAAAGAACTCAAAGTGGCTTACATCATTCTCCTGCTGCTCTTAGTCCTATCTCTATAAAAACAACCCTGTGAGGTAGGTTGGGTTGAGAGACTGTGACTGTATCAAAGTTCGTAATACTGTCCTATAACAGTAAAAATTCAGGAACAAGAACTATACTTAAAATCAATTTAACCAATTCTCAAATAATAACTCCTGAATAATATATTCTGGGAGCTGGACTTTTATGAAAGAAGCCAGAATTTCTGAGCAGGAGCCTCACAAAATGCCCAGCTTTCTCTTATAAAAACCAAGATAAACTGGTTCATATTCACTCCAAGCTAAGTTTTAATTTGTACGGCAGAAATGATTTTTGAGAAATTAAAAATGTTATTTTTTTAAATACCACATGGCTATTCCAATGAAGAAGAGGTTGCAGTTGTATTTAGCCTAAACATGTCCAATAACATTTAATTAACTTAATACTACTTCATTTATGTTAAATAGCTGACCTTAGCCTGTAGTTGCACATTCCAATCAGAATACTTATTTTCTTTATGCAAATTGCTCAAGCAAACAATTGATTTGTGGCCCAATCCTAGAAGCCATTGGAGAAAGCAAAGAAAGCTCCCAAGGATGGACTGCACCCTTGTACAACTATCTTTTGAATGAGTTCTCAAGTATTTGAAGTTATATGTTTCTTCTTAACAACCTGAATGCTTACTGTAACAAATTCTGGGGTCAAGAGAGTCATAGATGTTGCAAATATGTTGCCTCAAAACTGTGAAGTGAATTTAGGAAATTTAAGAGAGGGTTTGGTTCCAGATTCCTTAAAGGAGGCTGAAGTTAAACCACTTCTAAAAAAAACCAAATGTGGATCCAGGGGATATGAACAATTATAGACCTATGGTGAACATGCTCTTTTTGGGCAAGGTATTTGAACAGGTGGTGCCAGAGCAGCTCTAAGCACTCTTGGATGAAACAGATTATCTAGATCTATTTCAATCAGGCTTTAGGCCTGAGTTTGGAACAGAGACTGCCTTGGTCACCCTATGGGATGACCTTTTCTGGGAGAGAGAAGGGGGAGTGTGACCCGAATGATTTTCCTGGAACTTTCAGCAGCTTTCAAAACCATTGACCATGGTGTCTTTCTGGACAGGTTGGTTGGATTGGGAGTAGGAGGCACTCTTCTGCTGTGGTTCTGCTCTGATCTGTCTAGAAGCTGGTGCAGGGAAACAGAGCTAGGCCACATTCACTCACATTCTAGTAACCTCTCAGTTGGACTACTGTAATGCACTCTACATGTGTCTGCCCCTGAAGATGGTCCAGACCAGCTCACACACCCATATTATGCCAATTCTTTATCAATTACATTGGCTACCAGTTGAGGCCTAGGCCCAATTTAAAGTGCTTGTTTTGGCATACAAGATCTCAAACAGCTTGGGACCAGGATACGTGAAGGAATGCCTACCCCTACCCAACTACTAAGATCAGCATCAGACATACTTCTCAGAGAGATGAGGAGGGTGGCAAACAAGAGAAGGGCCTTCTCAGTGACTGCACTCGATTTATGGAATATACTCCCAAGAAAAGTATGTCTGGCATCCAAATTGTTCTCTTTACAGTGCCAGACAAAAATGGTTTTATTTACCAGACATGTTAGGAACTGTTGAATGAATTTTTTTTAATCACTGCTGTGCCTGAGTAGTTGTAGTTGTAGTTGTCTGCTAGACTCTACTGTATTTTTATTGTATTTTATTGTATGCTTTTCACTGCATGATTTTTATAGTTCCTTTTATTCATTTATTTATTCCTGAAGGGCTATGGGAGTGGTATATAGATGTAAACATAAATATAAAATTGATATGGCTGCTGCAAACTGACATAGGGTGCTGCACTGGTGGTTTGGTGTTATTATGTTACCAGCTAGCAGCACACCAATGTACCATCTAGAACATGGGTGAACAATTTGTGGCTGTCCAGATATTTTGCCTATATCCAACTTCCACCAGTCCTAGCCAACATAGCCAATTGTGAGGAATCAAGTGAGCCAAAGGCCCAAACATTTGAAATGCCACAAGTTGCCCACCCCCTAGATGCTGAATTGCAACTCCCATCAGCCCTAGCTATCATTAATGCTGAAGGATGATGAAAGTTGCAGTCTTAACATCTGAACTCCTACAAGTTACCACATCCAGCAGCCTAGAATAAAATCAAGTAGAGAGGGTAAACTAACATTTTAAATGTTATTTCCATGACCAAACACTGGGAAGGTGTTATTCTATACTGTTATGTAAGAATAATAAAAATCATTTCTTTACAGGAGCTCTTCCTGCCTCCTAAGAATAAGCAGCAGGCTCCAAATAATATGGGGAAAGTTTGCCTGTGTCCCAGTGCTAGAATCAAGCACAAAAAGTTTTGCATGCAGTTCATCTTTGTCACTTAAGGCTTAGGTGCCCACACTGGCACAGAGTGCCATCTACCAGCTTTGGCTGGTGGTCCAGTTATGCCCCTATCAGGACAGGGATAATCTGACTCCAGCTGTTCACTCCCCTGAAAACTCTGTGTCAAATTACTGAAATGTGCTCTATGGGGGTTTCCTTTGAAGACACTTTGGAAGCTGCAGCTTATGAAAAATTAGATGATGGCTGACGGCACAAGGGCTGACCCCAAAATTCTGGCCAATTGCATTAGTGGCATATTCATTTCTGAGCCAAATTCGGGGTGCAGCTTTTGACTTGGAAAGCTTTACCCAGTTCTGTATACTATGAACATATCCAGTTGTACACTACAGGTTGTTTGGAAGATGGCAACAAAGGAGAAGGCCTTCTTGGTGGTTGCCCTCCAGATGCTGAATGCTCTCCTCTCTCCCCACAGCCTGTCTTGTACCAACACTTCCAACTTCTAGCATCAGTTAAGGCTTTCCTCTACGCTCAGGCATTTGGCAACATTTCAACAGGAGTTTTCAATTGCTTGAGTTTCATTTTATATTTTTGTATGATTTTATATTACGCTCACATTTGCGTATAATGGTTTCACATTAAGCTATCAAATTTTGAATGCGAATTTCTGTAACTCTGGCTGCTGGGCAGAGTATTAATGCAATGCATTAAATGAAACGTCCTATGAACGGCTAGCTGGGCACCGGAGCCTCTACCGCCTCTTGCCTTCTCACCTCAACGCGCCCGCTGCCTCCCGGGATGCCGCCAGCTCCAGACTGTGAGGTGGCAGCGGCGGCAGAGCCAGGGCCGCCGCCTCCGGCCCCTCCGGCGCCGCTGCCTCCCACGGCCTGGTCGCTCTTCTTACGCTTGTATTTATCCTTGTACATCTTGTTCCGATGCCTCTTGCACATCCAAGGCTTGCGTTGCTTCGCCACTTGAGTGGTAGTCTCGCTGCAGCCCTGATACGTGCAGCTCTTGCACCCGCTGCTGCCGCCGCCGCCTCCAGACTGGGCGCCGCTCTCGTCGTCATCGTCCAAGTCCTCCAGGCCGCCGCCGCCGCCGCCAGGACTGCCCGCGCTGTCCCCGACGTCGCCGTCCCCCTCCACTTCGCCCGCGGGGCCTAGCTCGTAGAAGAGCATCAGGCCGCCCTGAGCGGAGGGCGCCTCTGAGGCAGCCTGCGCTGGCTGGACCACTTGAGGTTGCAGCATGGCGCCCACCGCCTCCCCGTCCCCGCCGCAGGACTGCATCACCAGCAGCGTGACCGACTGCGACGGGGATGGGGAAGAGGAGCTGGACAAAGCGGCGGAGCTGCCGCTGGTGTTCCCCGAAGCCTCCGTCCCGGCGTACTAAAGCCTCGCAGCCAGGCCTCTCGAGGCACCGGCTGCCACAGCAACGACAAACGAACGGCAGCGGCGGCGCGAACGGTGACAGGTTGGCAGCTACTGCGCATGCACACGCAAGCACGCATTCCCCCCTCCCCTTCCTTCACCGATGGCACAAAGGCGGCGGCCGGCATCGCGCATGTTCAAAACCGAGGAGCCAATAAAAAACGAGCGCTGTCGTGTTGATTCACGTATGAGGGCGCCTGCTGTGAACATCATCCGAGTTTGCTTCCCGGGTTGAAAAGGCGCATGCGCCCTGTTCGCGGGCAGTTTGACAGCTGCCTCGGCGTTGCGTGAGATGTTCTACGCAGGTATACTCGGAGTAAGTACCATTGAGTTCAATGAAGCTTACCTCCAAATAAATGTACGAGGTTTAGGCTCCGTTTACACAAAGATGTCATGCGCCCGGGGGACAATGGAAGACAATGGGGTTAACTTGGGCGAGTTGGATGGTGGTTATCCCTTTATTTATATGTATTATTGTCTTAATTTATAAACTGCTTTTCATCCATAAGGGATCGCACGACAATTCAAAGAAGCATTTCAGGTTTAAAAGGTGTAAGAAGAACCAAAACATACTTGCTGGGCACCGAAACGAACATCACATTGGCAGTGATTGTATATTCCTAGGTGGTCATCCCAAAGTCTGGACATCCACAAAGAAATCCTGCCCTTTTGCAGATGCATGTTATATTACTTCCATTAATAATACTTGGACAAGGGTTCAGATACGCTCTGAAGTTTCTAATGCATCATTAGGGTTATGGGGGAAGGCACTCCTTCACATTTGGTACCAAAGCCATTTAGTATTTGGAATCATAGAATAGTAGAGTTGGAAGGGGCCATGAAGGCCATTGGGTCCAGCCCCCTGCTGTTGCAGGACACCATGTTGCACCATCCTACTTGGATGAGTGCCCAGTTTCTTTTTGAATGTCTCTAGTGTTGCCAACATTTTGACCTAGGTTTGATAGCAAATAGGGGCCACTGTAATTGCTTAAGTGCTGATGTCATGTGCCTCCATTTAGGAAACTTAGTCAGCATACTAGCATATTCAAGGGCGGCCTTGTGTATGACAAGATGGAGGTTTCCAGCACATGTATCACCATGGAAGACAAGGCTTCCCCTACCTGGGAAAGTCCATACCTGAAGAACTGAAAAAAATGGTAGAAGGTGTTCTGACTTTAAGGCCATTTAATTCTTTAGGGGCAAGAAATAATAAACAATCCCTGTGCCTGAGTGATCCTTATGTTAATCTCCTGTAATCAATGCCATTGCATTGAATCCCCTCTGCAAACCTCACCTACTTTTGACTGTGTTCCCCTTATTTCACCATAAACTGCCCAGCTGCTGGGCTCATGTGACTCAGAATCTTTAAAACACTCTGTATATGTTCTGGAAGCATGTAGTGGGCAGTGAAAACTGTACATCTCATCTTTCAGGAGACATGCAACTGCATCCAGAACCACTCCATTCATTTTATAATGTGGAATTCAGTCCTCACAGTAACATGTTAATTGTGCACTGAATGAAATTCAGTGCAAAACTAGATGTGCCTAATTCTGTGCAAAATTAGGTATGCCTAAGTACACTCCATGGACCTCCAAGGGTACAGGTACACAGGACTGCAACCAGCTTTAACTTATTCTGTAAAGTTATAATATGCTATACATTAATATCTGTATAGATCAAAGTGATCTTGATATGTTGGAGCATTGGGCTGAAAACAACAAAATGAAATTCAATAGGAACAAATACAAAGCTCTGCACCTAAGATAAAGAAACCAAATGCATAATTACAGGATGGGGAATACTTGGCTCAACAATACTGCAAACAAGAAGGATCTTGAAATTGTAGATCAGAAAATACAGCAGCCACATGCCAGGTTGACATTTTCATTAAGCTGTTAACCTCAGTCCCAACCAAGATCACTTCCCTGGTCAGTCACCACTATCTCAGTTCCTACCAGCTTATAGTTCCTGGTTGGGATTTTTTGCCCCAGTGTGCATTGCTTTGCACTTGCTTACATTAAACTTTATTTGCTATTTAATGCCCATTCTCCCAGTTTAGAGGGGTTCTTTTCAAGTTTCTCACAACCCCTTTTGGTTTCACTGTCCCAAATACTGCTCAGTTTGCACAAAACAACAATCCAGGATTCAGTAATTCCTAATCAGTCCATATTCTGGGCCATCATTGCACTGTTGCTATGAAAAAAGTGGTTCTCATAATCCATCCTAGAAGTGCCATACTTTGTTTGGTGACCCTATGAATAAAAGCCCCCCAGAATGTCCTGTCAGAGACAACCCTGCTCAGCTTTCCTAAGTTCAAGGCTGTGGCTTCCTTTAGGGATTCAATCCATGCTTTATGCATTCCTATCTGTATGGAAAACAGCAAAGCGCTAAAGTCATTTTGGTATTTGAAAGCTCTTCATGAATGTCAGTGAGATTATATTTGATCTTTCTAATTAACTACCACTTGGTAGTCCTATGCAATAACTTTTTCCCCAACAAGGAGTTGTGATTGCTGTAGGTGAATTCTTCCAAACCCAGAAACTAGCAACAGCAGCCAGTAAGTGGTCCCAGCATGTAACTCAGCTTTTGTGCCAGGTAATTAAAGTTCGTTAGGAAGCTGCTTCCAGCTGAGAACCATAATGACTGACACATGATATTGTTCTGATCCGGTAAATTAAGAGTGTCACTTCAAATCATGGCCTTTGAAATGTCACAAGGCTCCTCGATACAGCATTCTACAATTCCACCTCATTCATTGAAGCTTTTGATTGAATTAGATGAATGACATTCTTTGCCTCCAGCAACCTGAGCAATGCAAATTATCTCCAGCAAGGGTATGTAGAAGTAAATTTCCAGGTGTTTTGGACTTCAGCTCGCAATATTTCTGCTGTCAGGGGCTTCTGAGAGTTGTAGTTCAAAGCATCTGTCCATCCCAGTTCCACAGGATGTATGCTCTGTGTATGTGAGAGGGAGGATTTTGTGCACCCAATTGTATTCAGTGTTAGTCCTACTTTGGTAGAGACCCACTGAAATGAATGAGACTTCAGTTAGACTAATGCTGTCCTTATGTTAAGCTTTTTACTATCCATTTATCCGGTATGGTGTAAGAGCACAAGGATGGAAGACTAGACTCAAATTTTACTTCTGCAATGAACCCAAGGGGTGCCCTTAGGGTAAACCACTATTCTCTGAGCATCAACCATCCCTCTGAAATAAAGGAATGGAAACATATAGCAGTGGTAGAGCACATACCTTGTGTGTGAAAACCACAGGTTTACTTCTGAGCATTGCCGTTCAGAGTCTGTAACGCCAGCTCAGTTTCCTTGCATAGATAAATTGATGTTCAGGGTTTCAAGTAAATTGGCTGGCCTAGTCCCCATTAGGTCACGTGTTACTGGGAATATTATAAATACTTTACATAATTAGATGGGGTGGAGAAAGCAGTAGAAAATTAATTTGTCACATTGGTAGGGAGGTTGTAAAAGAATGCATCAAAGATGTACAATTGTTAGTAAAATTACTTCCATCTGCTCATTTTGGCTCTAAATGTTAAACTGG